AAATTATTTGAAGCCCCCTGTAACATTTATTAGGGGTAGAAAATGCTGCAAAATCTGATGATCCAATCTGTTTGATGATTACTCCTCAGATAAAGATGGTAGGGGTGAAAAACTGTTAAAACCGTTAACANAAATATGAAGATTGGAAGTACTTTGGCGGTTGTTATAGAACAAACAGAATAGCTCAAAACCCCAACGCCAAAACACGACACTGTAGTTGTCCGAAGCACTTTTCTTCCTTCTTCAGGGACTGAAGTAAACTAGTTTACCTGAAGAAGGTAACTTTGTTACCGAAAAGTGCTTCGGACAACTACAGTGTCGTGTTTTGGCGTTGGAGTTTTGAGCTATTCTGTTTGTTCTATTTAATAAATACTAAATTCCCTTCTTTCTTTTATAAGACTGCAATTGAAAGACCAAAAACCTTTAGATACAATTAAATGTTATAGGTACTTTTTATTCTTCAAGGAATTTACAAACAATATGTCCTTGCACAGATATTTCATTTAAGTTTTTCCGCAAATGCTTAAATATTTTATCATTCTAGCGAATACGTTATGCATAACTGATAAGACGTAAATCTCTAACATTATCAATGTATAATAATGTAAAAATGATAACGGTTTCAATAGGAACAGGTGCATTTAATATAAAATGCAAATTTGCGGAAACTTGATAGATGTAAAATCCTACACTCAAAAAAGCAAGTGCTTAATAACTAATAAATCAATTACTTTATCAACCCTTTTCTACGTTAAAATACGTAGAAAGTCACCAAAATTTTAATGCTAAAAGTCAACTTCCTATAAAAATACTTTGAAGAAAAACTAAAAGTAACACAAGTAGTTTGTGTTTTGTATTCTAAGCCTTTTTACTGTAAAAATAAGTACAAAAGGATATGAAATGTTAACTGTACATTAACCCTTTTAAAATGTGGGTAAAACACTACGTAAATTTAAATAGAGAAAGCTAATTTGTAATAGCAATAATAACAAAAAAGCTACATCAAAAAAAAAACAAATTAAATGTAAAGATAAGAATCTCAATTATACATAGAAGTCTAATGTACAATTAATATAGACAACAATTTTATTTTTCGATTTTGAATGTTATCAAAAAATCAATAGAAATTATTACCCTATAGATATTTGCCAAATATTACTCCAGTACGTCTACTTCTACCTTTTATAAGTGGAAAAATCAAGCAAGATATTCGAAAACTATGAACCAAACTATAGAATGTCCTAAAATTGCTGTATTTCGTAATTATTATCGATTTCATTGAAGATAAGATACCAATGTAAAATAAAACAATTACATATCATGTTGTACACGATAAACCAAGCAAATAAATTGTACTATTTGTAAAGAATCTTCAGGATTATAATTTATTATAAACATATAACCGATTACGTCCTTTATTTCTTTGTCGATTTATACACAATACGCACTTTCCTTCTGAGACATTTCAGAAAAATGAATTATAACAACTTTAAAAATAAACAAATTTTTAATTTAAAATAGTAAATAGGTCTATATAGTTTCTATTAAACATATTAATTTAATTCAAATATTTCAAACATGAGATATGAACTAGAAAATGTATTTCTAACGTAAATTGTATTTAATAAAAAATTGTTTGTCGACATACCTGGACAAAACGTTTTATGAGACTAACAATTACACCCACTATTGACAGTTGGCACTCTGCAACTGATAACACTAAAGTTATCTTTATCGTTGTCTTTTTTATCATAATAGTAAAATGAAATAATCAAAAGATAAGTGCTACTAATTTCGATTTGCCAATTTTTTTATAGGTACCTATCTACCTATAGTTCTATTTGTAATCCTTTTAAAGAAAATAAATATTTTCTCTTACATACAAATTAAATGCATTACCTAATTAATTGTATTATCCTGTCAAAATCGAATAGAAATCGTGCGAATGTCTGTTATAAAATAAATCCTGGTTGTTTTGTCACATTGTTGGCACCAAAGAAAAGTGCAAATTCAAGTAAAAGTTAATTTGTATGCTTCTAATAAAGTGTTTTACAAGAGTGATGTTTCCCACTGAATTCTAAAATCCTTCTTACATAAATTGCTTTCCAATAATAAGTTATGTAGGCAAAGATGGACATTATTACTGCTAAACTTTGTATGTTTTCATTGAACTCAAACAAAGTCCTGATGAAGCCAAAATTTGGCAAAATAATTGTTAAGTAACGAAAAATTTTATTCTGTGTAATAGTTATGGTATTACAAGGGGTTCCTATAGACTTCGGAAAATGAAGAGATTTTGGTTTACAATCAGGACATGAAAAAGTGAAGGACGATAAATGAGAGACTCCAAATTAATACTTTACTTACACATTTATCTCTGTGCATAAATTATTAATAACATTGTTAATTACTTGCTGTTTCTACTACAATAAATTATATGCTAAATATTACTTTTACCTATACGTGTGTCTTTCTTAATTAAAAAATGATTGATATTATATAGTCAAGCTTGACACAACATTAGTTCAATTGCACAATAATTCGTTGCATAATACTCTTTAAAAGTTTAATCGAGACGACTAGCTGTTCTTTTCTTATTACACGACCTAATTCAAGCAAGCAAAAGTAAATGTAAGTACATCTTCACTTGTAGATAGATATATAGTTGCAATAAGTTTTGTTCAATAACATAAACATAAATTTGATTTTCATATGAATGAATCACTTTCGCAACCTTCTTGCGAAAGGTCATCTTTCCTCTTCTAGGTCGCAGTTTGCCACTGAAAGAAATCAAAAACTGGTCGTATTTATAAATCTTATTTTATTTTTAGAACCACCGCTTAATTAGCTTTTGTTTTTCTCATAAATATGCATTAAATACTGGAATTAATTTAAATAACTGCATTGAAACTGATACAACGTTTAAATTCAGTCTCAAGTGTGATACATGCAATGCAATTTTGTTTACGAAATCAAGGCAATTTTCTTTCAAAAAAATGTTGACGACAAACCGTTCCTTTCAGTCTAATAGACGTGTATGCATACTATATGTAGCTGTCGACTGGTTATTAAGTTTTTAGGTCTATAATATGCATTATTTATACTTAGTTGCAATCTTAAAAATGATGCAAACAGTAGATATGTACTATACAATTATTGGAAGATTGCATTTACGTCATCGTTATAATCGTACGAACTAATACAATCAAATAACAGTACAATTTTCATTTTTTCATTGTTTTGGTTCAGTGATCCCAAATTGCAGACTAACATTGCCTCGTTTTGTTTGCATAATATTGCTATAATATTGCCTCAGTCAACTAAGTGCATTTGTTGGAAATTTTTGAAATAAAAATTAAAACAGTTTCCTCATAGGAAAGACCGCATATAATGAATGTACTTATTGTGGGAAGATACATGTAAAAGTCATAGAAACCATTCAATTCGAAATCCTCAATTTCGAAATGCCTTCTGTAAATTATGCTTCTTAAAGTTACTTAATAGCAATTAAGGTAGGATTAAAACTTGCAAAAGTAGATAGAACAATAGCCCCAATAATTTCGCTTTTGTTTCACAAAAACTACTTCAAAGTTAATTGCGAAGGTCAAGGAGATTGTCGAAGAAAACAAATTTTTAGAGTCAATTTTACAAAATAATTCAGTGAATATTGACGAAATCACTTTTAATTTTGTTAAACTAAAAAAAAGTTATTTGAAGTTTCAAAATTCTTCAGAAAATTTTGATTTATAATTAATCCTAATCGTCATAAGGACTATACCACTAAGACTTCTTCCCATGTTTAACTAATCTGGGCATCTAGGGCTCTTACGTCTCTTAGGTACGTATTCTCGAACAGTAGCCTAGTCTAGGTCTACATCTGCCCCTATTAACACCTGTTTCTGCTTCTAATATATCTCTAACTAGCCCTTCATGTCTCAGAAAATACTCTCCCCTAAAAACACCTCGAACATGATCACCTACGATCAAAAGCCGATAATAATGGTCTATAATTTAAGTTGTAAGTAGTTACATTCTTTCAACGTTCGTTTGTACAAATATATGCACACGTAAGTAAGTAGATGTAATTATATGCACAAGTACACAAACAATAATGTATTTGAAACACATTTACATGAGGAAAAGCATTGTTCGTTCGGGTTAACAATAGAATTTCTTACAGGTATGTGGAACTCGTAAAAAGTGCTTAACTTTCTTTTGATTACGTTAAAAAAAAAGAAAGGAAAAGGAGTATCTAAAAATGAAAAAAATGAATGATTCGATTTGGAATTTGCACAACCAATAACGATAACTNTTTTAAAAACGCGCATCTCAGTTTTCAATTCCAAACCAAATTATTTGAAGCCCCCGGTAACATTTATTAGGGGTAGAAAATGCTGCAAAATCTGATGATCCAATCTGTTTGATGATTACTCCTCAGATAAAGATGGTAGGGGTGAAAAACTGTTAAAACCGTTAACAATTTCGTGTTTTAAAAACGCGCATCTCAGTTTTCAATTCCAAAACAAATTATTTGACGCCCCCGGTAACATTTATTAGGGGTAGAAAATGTTGCAGAATCTGATAGTCTAATCTGTTTGATGATTGCTCTTCATATAAATATGCTAAGGATGAAAAACTGTTAAAACCGTTAACAATTTCGTGTATTAAAAAAGCGCATCTCAGTTTTCAATTCCAAAACAAATTATTTGACGCCCTCTATAACATTAATTAGGGGCAGAAAATGCTGCAGAATCTGATGGTCCAATCGGTTTGATGATTGCTCCTCAGATAATGGTGCTAGGGGTGAAAAACTGTTAAAACCGTTAATAATTCGTGTTTTAAAAACGCGCATCTCAGTTTTCAATTCCAAATCAAATTATTTGAGGCCCTCTGTAACATTTATCAGGGGTAGAAAATGCTACAGAATCTGATGGTCCAATCTGTTTGATGATTGCTCCTCAGATAAAGGTGCTAGGGGTGAAAAACTGTTAAAAAAATACCTTGTGATAACAAATGCCGCCTCCCTTCGACGTTTCGCTTCTTTTTGGGCCAAATGTCTCCTGCAATACTTCTGAATTGTAATGGCATTCTCCCTCATCTTCAAAAATCTTCTTCTCTGCATGATGCCCTTCCATTTGGATTGTATAATTGCTGCAATGTCGTGCTTCTTCAATTGGAACGCGTCTTCTGTTTCGAACAGGGTCTTCGGGAATCGAATGAATATTTTTGTTCTAGAAACAAAAGACCAATAAGCCGTAACAATCATCCCTAGGTGTACAGGGACTCACTTTCCCATCCTGTAATCTTCCTTGTCGTATCCCAGGGCGTTGACCAATACCTGGACTCCATCTTTAGCTTCACCCCTGTAGTTCGGCCACGTTTCCTTGCAGAGACACTTATAACGATGCAAGAATTTCTCGTAAATTCTTCTATAAGCAAAACCGGCTCTTCTAACTCTTAGGTTCTCCATCAGACCCAAGTATTTGGTCTGATGTTTCACCAAATCCACATCAAAAATACCTAAAACGCGAAAACCATGATGTGTAATCATTTGGTTTGAAGAAGAGGTGTTGATATATAGATAGATATTGACTTACTGGGTTGCTTAAGGTCATTTGGCTTAATACATCTGACGTATGAAGGTTCCTTGTCCATAAGAATGTCCATTAACTCGTTAACAGAAGTCTTGAACTGGGTTATAACAGTCTCCGGTCTTTTCTTGTTTTTGTATTCTCCTGGCGGGAAGATACTGTTCATTATTTTATTTGTGGAATGTGACATTGCTTCCTTTAAGTCCCTAAATAACAAATCATTGTTCTTTTCCAGAAATCCGTTGATATTGTACGTTACGTCTCCAGCGTAATGGATTAATCTAAATTCCTAAAACATGAATAAATAATCTAAAATTAATTTCATATAAAATAGTACAAAATTACTTCAAGTTAATAAGGAAAAATTGTTGCTGTTGAGAGGCCCTCGCCGGGAATCGAACCCAGGTCCTTTGGCTTTACACACCGGTACTCAGACCACTAAGCTACGAAAGGTGACAGCAGTAATCACGACTAAACGCACATATTACGTCACAAATGCTTAGTGGTACGTGAAGGCAAAGGTTCCGGGTTCGATTCCCGGCGAGGACGAGACTGCAGTAAAAATTTTTCTTTATTACTTTGAGGTAATTTGAAATTAATAAAAATAATATTAATTTTCACATTATTAGTAGCTTACATCTCTGCCCATAATTTTTTGTAGTTTTATATCAGCTTTTTCATGACTTATGTAATGTTTATGGCATCCAAACGAATCATTCATCTTCATCAAAAGAGTTTTGTCGTTTGGATTACCAGGTCTCAGGCATTCTTCGTCCATCAATGAGATGATACCTTTAAAAACAAATAAAATAAACATTTACACACAAAGTAATATGCAATATACCTTTGTGTTTTTCTTCGATAAGGTCACAAATTACTTTGTTATCAAAATACTCAACGTGTTGCCATTCGATGCCCTCTTTGAGGTACTCCTCCTGTTCGGACTTTAACGTCAACTCAATGAAAAGTTGCTGCAACTTTTCGTTACAAAAGTTGATGCAGAGTTGTTCGAAACTGAAACAATCAATTTACGGTAAAAATAATAAAATTTGGAGAGGGAGTAACAACGAACCTGTTCTTTCCAAAAATTTCGAACCCGTAAATGTCCAGGATTCCCATAACCACGTTCCTCTTTGGATTTTCCGGTTGGAGTGAATCGTTCAATCTTGTGACCAACCAGGAAAACAATCGGTCGTAGATGGCTTTGGCCAGCGCATCCCTTGCATAAATGGCTTGTTCCCTATTTAAGGGACTGGTGATTACGTCCCCCCTAGCATCGATCGTGTGATGGGTGAGGGCGTGAGTCAACTCACTTTCGGTGATTCCCAGAAGCTACAATGAAAGTATATGAGAACAGAATCAAATTTTTAGATCATTTGTTTTTACTTTTGAAATGTTTTGAATTGCGTCAAGTTTCGTCACTTTCCCTTTGCCATCTTCCTCAGAAAATCCTACATTTCCCAAGTGAAGGACACTGGCTATAATCACCATCATATCGTTTTGTTCTTCATCAGGAAATTCTAAAGTCGTTAAGGCTTGGCGAACTTCTTTGTAAGATTGTGCGTCGTCTATGTTGTCTACGTTGGAATCACCCTAAACAAAAAGAAGAAAAAAGGTTATAAATGAGAGGATAGGTATTGGAATAGGGAAAAGAAGAAGATGTTAAAACAGTTTACAAGACAAGACAGATTTACTTCTTTTAGTTACTTACCCCATGACTGAGGTAATAGTAACTTCGAAGGTTTCTTTTCAGATAGAGTTGACTAAGTTCGTCCTCAGTGGCACCAGTCAAAAGCTGATAAAAAATGTGGAAGTTTCTTTCACCCTTGTGCTGATTAACAATTCTAGCTTTTTCCAATAAATAATTAATAACATTGCCACCCACTGGAAGCCCCTAAAATTTAATTATTATTTAACATAAAAAGTTAATTTTAAAACACATGCAAATTAAAAATAATAAAAAAATAGAAG